GGCTACTGCGATGTTTGATACTTATCCGATTGCAAAAGTGGCCAAGAGAGAGAGAAGAAAACATTTTCTTTTCAGCAAGTTTTGCGACCTTTTTTTTTGGTTCTGAGGAATGGCGAAGTTGAACGATAATCCTCGCGTTTGTTGTAGCACCTTATCACAACAGAATATTTACGTTGGTTCTTTAAGATAAGCGTATGAAAAGTCTATTTTTGGAATCGATATAATTAAAAAAAACCCACACCATTACCACACCTGACGTATAATGCACACGGGCGATGCACATTAGTGACAACATTTGTAATTGATCGAGTCTGACTCAGTGAGTGTGGTCACCCACAGACATAGTCACCTGCTTTGCAGTACATCCCTTGGAGTGTTTTGAGATATCAATGCAAGTCAATTAAGAATTATTGTATGGTAACTATATGATGGGAAACATTTTCGAGTTTATTTTTAAGTTTCTTCCGTGGAGATAAGTAAGACCTGATCAATCACAAGTCATACCGTGTAAAGGTCCTCCTGCAATATAAAAGAGTTGTATAATTTATATTGCTGTTCAAATGAGGAGGTTCTAATACGCTAGGCTGTAAGTTAGAAAAGGCTGAGTACACTCTGTACAGAAAAAAAATGCTTATTAAATACCCCCCAAAAATTCTATGTTTTTATGCCAAATCTGTAATGTTGTGTTCGGTGAAAGATATCATTTATTTAATGTGATTTTACTCATTCCAATATCAATTGCCCCCTGATTAAATTTGAAACACCCGAGGATCTCATTCTGTTCCATTATGAATGTTTAACCTTTCTGCAAAGTTACTCAATTTGTTTTAAATTATTAGCAGCTTTATGCTGTAGGAATGGAAAAATTGCATGGAACCTAGTGCACTTCAATTCTGTGTGACGTCCTTTTTTGTAACACTTTCAGATGCCTCGATTTGTTTCCGCAAGTACAGTATTTCAGCCTTTTATGAAAAAAATGCTGATATACAGACCCTTGTTTGGAAATACAGTACAACTTCAAGAAGACGTAGTTTGTCATGTCTCACAACCGTCTAGTTTTAATAAAATCCAAGTGGGGGGGGGGTTCAAAAGTGAAATTGTGCAAAAATATTATATTTAACGTTACTCTTTACTGAAATGCTAGGGACATTCGATCTATTTAGTATCAAGTATGTTCTACCTCTCCAAACATGGTCCACTATTTGTTGGAATGACGTTTTCATATCCCCCATTAGTCATGTAACTATTATATTTAATTAGTTGACTTGTCTGTCGTAGGTTCTAGTTTGAAATTGATTCGATGTCATTTTAACTGCAGTATTACAGAATTGTAGGTGTCCTTGTAACACTGCCACAGTACTTCTAACGATGACTCACTCCTCGCACTTTTTCAGATTCTGCATTTTTGCACCTGCTAAATAGGGAACATTGATACAGGGAGTTTAGGTGTGAAAAAATACCTAAGTCTTATTTTCTAATTTTGACTTGAATCTAATTTTTTTTTAAACCCATGGTGTACTGTACACAACTGGATTTGTCAGAGTCTGTAGTTGCTCAGTAGGTTGTTGATAAATACATTTTGACAGCCTGTAAATGTCTATATTCAGAAATTGCATTTTAAAACTGCTTATTTTAGTTCAGAACGAACATTACAGTACTAAAGCCACTTCTGATATTTGAATGCTTTTTTGAACTGAGATAGTGTTCTTTCAACATTCCAATCTGTGTTCTGAAAACCTACAAAATTTGTTGGGCCTGAAAAGAATTGAGTGTTGATTTCCTCAGTGTGAAGGTTAGGGAAATGTTTAGTGGGGCTATGTTTCCTGTCCAATATCTGGTTATTGAATAATGCTTTATATCTGCACTTTAACACTTATCGTTTTTTACTCTATCTAAAAATGGTGTTGCAAAGAATATAGGATGGACATTTTGTTTGAATTAAACTTTGTCACCTTTGGTCATTCATCAGCCAAAGCATGGATAGGAGACCTACTCTTAAACCTTTTTCAACTTAGAGTTACAACCAGCCACTCGGCAATGTGTGTGTGGTCATATAAATCTCCATGGACTAGCTGTGCAGCATTACGAATGCAAATCTGCATCCTGCCACTCTTTAGACTATGTTTCATTCAAACCAACAGTCTTCTGTCTAGCCTAGTTCCCAATTTGAATGAAAGAAATATTGTTTGTAAACTTCCAGATGAATTGGTATAGTTTTTCTCTGCATGTTAAGTGGTAAGCTATTTAATCTTTTCTTTAATTGGATATATATGCAAGATGTTAAATTAAGCAAGCATGGTGAGTGTTAATGTCATGAATGATTGTAGAGTGCTTCTAAAAGTGAATGTTCATTTAAACCGTTCATTACAGACTATTATGATTACTTTGCGTGCAAGTAACCCACCTCCTGTGTTACATCAGTATAGATAGTATTTAAACATGTCAAGTTGAGCGCATGTACACTCGCCAATCAATCAGTGGACCATACATACCAAGTGAAGTAATTTCCCAACATCTGACTAACAGCTGTCATTATTATAGCATTGCATTCTGTGAGTAAAACTTACAAATTGAAAAGCACAAAGACTTGATGAGTTGTATGTTCTTTACATCCACAGCTGAATAGCTTAAGGAAGTTCTAAAGGTTAGATTTGATTGGAAGTAGTCTATTGCTATCATTTTCACAGATGACAAAGATGAGACTGAATATAACAGTGTACTACGTTTGCAAACTAAATGCTAGAATTTTATTATTTGTATCCACTGAGTATTTTTGCAATTTGTAATAAATGCTAATGTAATCTTCATTGTATATCAAATTTATTGCAGCTAGACACTGGGTCCTTTTTTAATTAAAAAAACCAAAATCAACAAGAATAAAGTTCACAATGTTCTTTACAAGAAAGTTTGTAGGGTATTTAAACCACATTTGATGAACAAGCAGTGCAGTTTATTCACATTCATGTAAAAAGGATCAGAGATGACACCTTCTGAAACTAATTTTTGAAAATTGAAATGCAAATGTGAGGCGGGTTCGCTTGCTTCGAAGGACCATCTGTTCTGACATGTATTAAATCCGAAGGGGGGGGTGATGTAGATAAATTTGATACACTTGCCATGCTTAATATTTAATCCCCAGGAGTTGAAAGATTGAGTTGTGCTGAATTAAATATTTGCAGAAAGAGTTGGTGCACAAATTTGACATGAATAAAAGTGCCACGACGGTGAATAAATTGAATAATTTAGAGTATTAGTAAATGATCTGAGAAATGTAAAACATGAGGGTATCTGAAAGCTCTGGTGTGCGGTTTGTCATGAGTAGGACACAACTCACTTTTCTGTTTGAATAACTGACTTCCTTTAATGCAGACATGATCACTTGCTTTGGTTTGTTAATCTCTAGGCATGTCTGGTGACCAGCTTGAAAATCCCATAAACAGCAAATTCTAATTGCATCACTGACTTTAACTAGGATGATTTTTTTAAAAAGCTTCATGTAGACTGTAATTAATTTTTCACAATTCTAGTTTGCCATATGAAAAAAAGCCCTTATTTGCTACTTCACACTTTGGGCACAGAATTAGTGCTGGGAAGGCTTAAATGTTAGTAGAGCAGTTACTTAAACGTGCTTTCTGAGAGCACTGAGACTGATTATGTGGTCACTGAAATATGTTTGCAACTCTCTTTGAAATAGGCTGAAATAATTGTATGTGCCTCATAGTTTTAAATCTTCTAAAGCTATTTGTGGGTTATGCTTTTTGAGATACAAACTTTGTTCAAGAAGCAAAATAGCAGTTTCTGGGCAATTTGTATATGGTTTAAAAGTTTGTCTATTTATTGATTTTTCTACAGAAAGGTTCAGTAAGTATTCCATTAATACTTTTTAAAGCAAATATTTAATACTTTTTAAAGCACAATTTATTGGAACGTTCTAAAAGGTGTTGAATTTAACCTAATATTCCACTTGAGTTTAAGTGTTGCAGAATGTATCCAGCCCCAATGGTGTAATGGAAAGAGCCGCATCATGCACATTAGGAGTTTAACTTGCTGGTTCAAGTCCTAATCCAATCTGAGTGTGCTGGATTCACGGGGAGGCTAAATTGGCTCTTGCCTTCCCTAAGGAGGCTAAAACCAGCAGGGATTCGAAAAGTAGGTTCACCTAACAGCCTCTGAAGTGGCCTGGTGACACTTACTATCGAGGCTCACGTGCGAACGAAGGACGCTCTCCGGAGTTAGTGGAGCGCAACCAATGCCCGTGGGAACCACACCACAATGTGAGGAGCTAGTGGACCAGGAGCAGAGTTAGATATCAAGGGAGAGACATTTAGAAAATACTTGAATAACTATTTTTTAAAAATGAATGATTTATGCAATGCCCAGTGTCTTTCTGACGAGTTGGAATGGAAAGATTAAATCCAAAAATTGGCTTGACTCGTACAACTAGGTCATGAAGTAAGTTGTACAATTGCCTCCATATATCCTACATCCTTGCTCACTATTTTAAAATGCTTATTCCATTTGCACTTTATATTGTTTCTCCCCCCTCCCAAACCCTCAGCAGATGAGGATCTAGTTCTGTCTAATTCTGAGAAGTAGAGCACTTACATTCCAAGAAGTTTGCTGTCACTATTTAGATTGGTGTAGCTTCAAGCAGAAAGGTAGGAGGAAAGGAACAAATCGTGCAGTAGAAAAAGCTGAGTGCAAAAGTCACTGTTTATAATAAATTTGTTTTGTAAACTGATATCATACAATGGAATAATCTCGTAAGTTACAAATATTGCAGATGAATTCTTAACATTACAAATACAATTTAAAAGCTATTTATCTGTTTTTTCTCTCCCCTTTCATTCCCTCCCATCAGAATAAATGTCAGATTTGTACATTTGTTACAAGAATTGTATTGACTGGATGATTTTAATATGATGGTTTCATTCAATCTAACATGATGTTGGTACAAGTGGATCCATGACTTAATGTCTTTTTTTCTTTTTGTTTTCTAGGTTGTACAAAGTGTAAAATGGATGATAGCTTTGATTGTGACTGTGGTGAGCTCGAGCCACCTGATCATTAGCGGGAGACATCTTTAGAACTAGAAAAGCTGCCACAAGTTCTCATTGCTTGACCCGACAAAAAGGAAAAAATAAGTGTTCTTCAGCACTATAGAATGACGCTGCTCAGGACCAGTCTTACACTGAATGTATCTGCACTATGAGGAGGATGTCAATAGAGGTTTATTACGCATATATGTATTCTCACACACCCTGTTAAATGTTAGCCTGTTTACAGCTGTAGTTTGGATGCATCTGTCTGTCAAAGTTATTCCGTTGCAATCAAACTTTAGTTTTGATTTTTAATGTCTGCAGGGATGTCCTTTTTTGAATTAGAAATTTAACATTTGCTAGTACAAGTACATCTGAGATCAGAATTTCTAGTCTGTGAGCTGTTCACTCCTCCCAAAAGGAGGGATTCGAACTGGGAGAGAGTTGTCTTGCTTCACCTAGTCTAGATGGAGAACAAATTTCAAAGAGAAAACACCTTGAGGTTAAGAAAAGGTTTAAGTTGTATTGCTTTTTCAGGAAGCTCTTTGCTGTAGAAGCTGATTTTTGAAATAGTCATTAGTTCTGACCTAGGATTGCGAGTCTTGATAGAAAAGGAAAGTTTGAGGGTTATAAACATGGCAGAAAAGTTTGAAAGTTTAATGAACATTCATGGTTTTGATTTGGGTGCTCGGTATATGGACTTGAAGCCACTCGGGTATGGAGGCAATGGTCTGGTTTTCTCTGCTGTGGACAATGACTGTGACAAGCGAGTGGCTGTCAAGAAAATTGTCCTGAGTGACCCCCAGAGTGTCAAACATGCCTTACGGGAGATCAAAATCATCCGACGACTTGACAATGATAACATAGTGAAAGTTTTTGAGATTTTGGGTCCAAGTGGTATACCGATGTCTGATGATGTGGGTTCCATCCCAGAACTGAATTCAGTATACATTGTTCAGGAGTACATGGAGACGGATCTAGCAAAGTTGTTGGAACAGGGCCAATTCTCAGAAGAGCATGCTAGGCTCTTCATGTACCAGCTGCTTCGTGGGCTAAAATACATCCATTCGGCTAATGTGCTGCACAGAGATCTCAAACCAGCTAATCTCTTCATTAACACTGAGGATTTGGTGTTGAAAATAGGGGATTTTGGTCTGGCACGCATCATGGATCCCCATTACTCTCACAAAGTAAGTTTTAATTTATTACCCATGAATAAATAAGGTAGTTGCATCGTTAGCGATGTTGAAGGTCATTGTTCAGATGTTTTTCTTTAAAAAAGAGTTTAACAACAGTGCAATAATAGTAATGCTGGATTGAGCTGCAAGCTTCTTGACAAATGGGGACGTGTTTTAGCAATTTGTAGTAAGAATTTCAGTATGGTTGAAGGATCAGCGATATATTAAAAGTAATATTGTTAAAGCTCTGTAGTACTATCGCTAACATTTAATCATTACAGCTTTTGCCTGTAGTGCTGCTAATGCATTAATATTCTTATGTAAAACGTGGTCTTCAATTTTTGAGTAATTTATTGACGAAACAGGTTTCTTTTAAATGTTTAACATTTGGTGCATAAAAATGTAACTCATCTGAAAACGTTTATGAACACTTCTATAAAATCATGTTTTAAGGAAGTTAAACATTTTGTATGTCAGATTTTGTTAGAAGGGGAAGAGTAAAATGTGTTTCTCATAAATGTGTAGGTTTATAAAGTTATAAGTAAAATGTATATTTGTTGTGAGTTTTTAAGCATTTTTTTATCATGAACGCATATCTGTTGACTGACAAGTATGTGAAGCTGTTGATAAAACGAAAGGAGAATTTAAAAGGCTCAAGGGAATGAATAAAGAATGCTCAGTAGTACAACCCAGAGCAAAATTTATCACACAATGGTGGGGGGTGTTGGTTAAATAGTGCAACTGTCTTGTTCAAGTGATCTTTCTTCACGTGTAAGCCTAGACAGTGAGCGTTGGCAGGTTATTTGACTCTGGATTGTAATCTTCCCCTTTGGTAATAATCGGGAACAAGAATCCTGTCGGACCTGTTCTTATACCTCCCCCAACAACCTTGGAACACTGAGGTTGTTTGAGGACACATTTCCTCCAGCGCACATTCTTATATAAGTTAAACTGCTTGCTTCGTAAATTGTTCCTAGCAGGAACTGGTTTGAGACTCCACAAACTGATTTCATGCAGCATGAAACTATTATAGTTAAATAAGTAACACATGGGAGGGGGAATTAGAAAGGTAGAGGCTTGTCTGTGTAATATAAACACAGGAATGGACTATTTGGGCCGCATGTCCTGTTTCCGGGCTATAACAGTCTTATATATTTCTTGCCCTTAATCATTTCCTTCACGACTGCAAATTTTAAATAGTAGGTCAGAGAGAAAAAAACACTCTAAAAGACTCCTTGTAGTGCTGTATTTTAAGAACTTTAATGAGGAAGGTCTAGACCTGATGTAACCATGAAATCAGTCCTAGATTATATACTATTGGGTAGATTTACACTTCATCTAGGGTATATTTATTCAGTGGTCTTCAAAACATAATTTAAGCAACTTTATTTTTAATTATTCTTTCAGACACTTTCTAGAACATCAAATCTATTAATAGAAGAACAATAGGATGTTCAGATTAATAGTTTGCATGTTCTGTAATGTAGAAGTCCAGATTTTTGTGGATGTGTAGAAATCTGATTATCTTAACAGCTATGGATAATCCTTATCCCAATTGTCACCCTCTATCATTTTGATTTGAATCTATGTAGAAATTGACTAATTTTCTACTACGATCATTATTCCGGTATGTAACTCATAAATAATACACCGGGATTGTGTGATGAGTGGAGTAACTGTTGGAATCTCGCTTGGCTTTGCAGTCTCTTGAAAATCAACATGTTAGTGGGTTCACAAGATTTGCATCTGCTTTGAGTGCAAAATTCAAAATAATGGCCCAGATGCTTGTGTTTATGCACTGCATTTATCAGGGCAAGCTGCAGCCTACGTCAATGTAATAAAATATAATGGGGGCTAGTAGTTGTTGTGCTGACTATGTTGATATATGAGGGAAAATCAGCAAATTGCAATCCTTTGCTCTTAAGACAATGCTCTTCACAACTGAATCCAAACGTTTGGTTTAGTTCAGAGAAACTTGCTTCGCTGATGGCTACACTTGGGTAGTTTTCAGTTAATGTTGATGAGATGTTGTTGGTTATCGAGGCTTGGTTGTGCTTGTTGGAGCTTTCAATATTCTTTATAAGTTGAGAATAACAGGTTGGTGGTTTGATGTTTGAAGTGGGGAGCAAGTTTAAATTTGTGTAAGTGAGTAAAGTGTATGATGATGCCAAGCCAGATTTTCACCTAAATAAAACAGCTATTGAAAATTACTTCTATTTCCGGTGTATGATGATGCCAAGCCAGGTTTTCACCTAAATAAAACAGCTATTGAAAATTACTTCTATTTCCTGATACACATCTGAATGACTTGCACAGTATTGCCACAGTCATTTTGAAAGAGCATTTTTTTTAACTTGTTTTTTCAAACCCATGCATGGTTCAGTTACCTATTAGACTGATGGCAAATTGACTTTAATACTTTTTTTTAATATCCTGGCCATTCTTCAGAGCAGGGTATCATTTTAAATTAAATGTGTGCACACTAATTTAAAGGAATACTCTTGGGAAGGCTTGGAGAAATGACATCTGAGTTCAGCACCCACTGTAGCACTTATGGAGCCAGGACTTGGTGTCCAGCAATTCACTTCATTTTCATTGACTGTAAGATCTACCAACTCCAATGCACAGGGACAGCCTGTGTTAACTAATCGAGACTGATTTTAACATTAACAAATCTTAAAAAAAGACGGACAGCATATCTTCCAGAAATCCAGCAGTCTAGTAGAGAGAGAGAGAGAGAGAGATATGCTGTTAGAAATCTAGGTTAACTCCAAAATGTATTGCAGTATAATATCCTCAGATCCTTAGAATAGTCTGGGTAGAAAATGTTGATCACTGCTACTCATTGTAAACTTATCTCATTTTTTAAGAACAGTATGTGTATTTACTTGAAATGGTACTGTCCAGGCTGGTTGCAGTCTGCCTTTGGGTTCACAAGTACATTAAACTTCAGTGATGTGAATCTTGGCTTTAGTGCTTAATCATTTGAGTTCTAATTTTAGAGTAAGCAGTGGGACCCAGTTTGACCTGGGTTTATGTTACACAGTTAGTTGTATATTTAAACCAGGATTTTACTTATAATCATTAAATATGGGCACTTCAAATATGTCGCCCGTTTCCTCACCATACTGCAAAATTCGACACAGAACAAGGCATCTATTTTGAGCCAGTATTCCTTAATGGTAGGCAATGCCCCTTTCTAGATTAAAACAATGTTCCAATGGTTAAATGCTTTAAACTAATTTTAGCTTGAACTTGCCTTCATCATTATCAGACCCATGCAGAAAAGGGAGCATCCATGTGTCTCGTTCACATGTCTGGGAAATGAGGCACCTCCTCAACTAATTTGCCAGTTTTTGCCAAATTTGTCGAGTGTTTTCTTGTTTTGGAGTGGTTTATCTTTGATTTGGGCCCTGAGCAAGACATTAGAAAAAGAGATACCCCTTGGAGCTACGCTAGAAGAACTTTAGTTTGAGGAAGAGTGACCTTGGAGGACTGCATGCAGTTATGATACTCTAATCTTATATTAGATACACATGTGGACGGATGTTTTAGGCTACCGGGTATGACATTGCAACAGTTTTGAGGTGTAAAACTTTTAAGTATTCCAGGCGTTTTCACTCAGATATGATTTAATTTTGAGTCGTACAAATTCCCTAATTGTACTCTTTGTTTAATAAAGTAGCTGTCTGCTCACCCTGCTTTTCGTGCTGGTCCACATTCTTCATGTTTAGCCTCTCAATTGCTTTTGAGTTTTATGTGCAAGATTTTTGGGAAGCAGTTTAAAAGCAGTTTAATCTAGATTGTATAATGAGTTACTTCATAGAAAAGAGGAGAACTGAAAAGTTTTTACAAGTTAGTAGCCTTGCAGACTATTTCATTGTAATTCCCATACTGTTAGTTACCCGTGCTGTGAAACACACTCTTTTAAAATCCTCTTTGTAAAGAAAGCAGATCTTTTACTGTTTATTCTGTTGTTGCCTGGTCTACAAGCTTCTGTTTCCATATGCGTTGACTTGTTAATTGTGTTTTTAAGGATTCTGGCATTCACAGTCTTAAAACAAATCCTTTCCACTTAATAAAATAGATTTTTTGCGGTGGCAAACTTATGACATTAAAACTGACTGGATTTAACTGACATTAAAACTGACTGGATCTGTGCTGTCAGATGGTCTTAGCACAAACCGCTGGTTATCAAATGGTTAATACAGAGCTTTCGTAACCCTCTGATAGATTCATCTTTTGAATTCCTTGGCTATCTTCCGGTTTAGTATTGTGCTGATCTGCATTCATGTACCAGCTGCTTTTAAGATATTTTTGTCACCCAAAACATATTGAAATGCCTTTGTTCAAAATTGTCTGCCATCCATGACTTTTCCCATCATTAACTTAATTCAGTATTTCACTAGCTTCTTTGTAACACTGAAATTCTTTTTCTAAGAGTATGCCGCATACATATTTGCCTCTCTGAAGACTGTAGTAGCATTTCAACGATAAAACTATACCAATCCAACTGATCACTGAATCTGTCATTGCAAATAACTGGTGTTTCATATCTAAGTATCAGGACTTTCCTAGTATGTAATTCGCTAGTTAAGCTGCACTTAGCAAGAATACACACCGATGTAAAAATGTGTCACATAAAAGCACACATTATGTTCGACAGGCTCATGTGAAGCACAAAAGCAGATGTAGACCAGTTGGGCCGAATGGCCTGTTTCTGTGCTGTATATTCTATGTAAACTGTGTGTGTTATATATTCTTTCTCCGAACTGCTAAGTACTTTGTTCCTCTTGTGTTTTTTCTAAATATACTATGTACATGAATCCCTTTGCATTTTCTCCCTCCCAATATAAGTGTTCCCCAGATAGTGGCTCTTCACTGACTTGCCAAGTCTTTCCATTCTTCATTTGTAAGCCTTATATAGAATGATTATTTATTTATCTAGTGAGGCTTGCCAGATAGAAATCGTGGGCCAGTATGCTGTTGAAGACAATTGAGGAGTAGCATTGCTTCCTTGACACAGGAGATTGGCTATCCCAGTGCAGATGATGATTTGAACCCTAGCACCATCCTGGTCTCAATAGCTCATTGCAGTAGAATGTTGTATCCAAAAATACAGTATATTTCTAATAACAATGCTACAGCCATCATGAAGGAATATAATTGAGATGGAGCACTTTTTTATTTATACTTCACAATTCAAGAGTTAACTTGAACTGTTTCCCAATATGAAAGTTTGGATGTGTGAACTTGGACAGAACCTATTAGATGCGATTCACTTTCAGGTCACTAAGATACATATGAACTGGATTGACATTTAATGGTGCGCAGACTTAACCTTCATGTCTTCCATTTTGGTATTAATGAACATAAGCTTTGAGTGAGTTGAACATTTATTTTCATAGTGCTGGTAAAATAACTTAAAGTTTTTTTTATATATAACGTTTCTAGTTTCAGAAGACAGCTTTATTCTTCTAGTATTTTTAAGAGCTAGAGATGCCAACACCACAGCCTGTTTTGCAAAAATATGAGATAGACTGTGGCAAGACAGATTATGTCATTGCTGGTAAATGTGGTAAACCCACAGTATAGAACTGAACTATTCATGTGTAAGCTATTTGTTGCATAAGCAAGGATTCATACCAGTTGAGATACAGTCATGCTCTGAGAGCAGTCTCTCCTATTCTTGATGCCTAAGAATGCTGCATGCATGCAATATATTGTTCAATATATTTTATTGGTGGGGAAAATACTGTTTTTACAGATGTATTGGAAACCAGAAGGTTCTTGTGTTCACATGGCACAGTCATCATTTAATTATCATTAGTTTAAATTGTATTGATTTAACTTCATGGAAACTAATGCAAAGTTTTTGAAACCTTGTCTTTCCAGGGCCATCTATCTGAGGGCTTGGTCACAAAGTGGTACAGATCTCCACGCCTCCTTCTCTCTCCCAACAACTACACCAAAGCCATTGACATGTGGGCTGCTGGCTGTATCTTTGCAGAAATGCTGACTGGAAAAACACTTTTTGCAGGTCAGTGTTGTGCTACTTGCCTTGACTTGGATTCCATGATTACTCAAAAGTGCATCAGCCTAGCTCAGTGGTAGCACTCTTGTCTCTGAGGCAGGAGGTTGTGGGTTCAAGCCCTAAGTGGGTGCTTGGAATCACATTGTCTAAGCTGACACACTATTGCAGTGCTGGTGGGTGCTTTGCATTGTTGGAGGTGCTGTCTTTCGGATCCGTTAAACCGAGGTCCCATTTGCCTCTTTAGGTGGACGTTAAAGATCCCATTGTTCGAAAAGAGAAGGGAGTTTCTCCCAGTGTCCTGGCCAACAATCCTCCCCCCCCCCCCCCCCCCCCCAATTAAAATTGGTCATTCACTCCAGGGCTGTTTGTGGGACATTGCTGTGCAGTCAAACCTCAGTTGATTCACATGTCTTAGTGATTACCTTAAGTGTCGAAAAGATACCATTGTGCATGTTAATATTTTATCCTTTGGCAGTTCTAACATTTTGAATCACTTGTGTAGGTGCTCATGAGCTGGAGCAGATGCAGTTGATTCTCAATACTATCCCTGTTGTCCACGAAGAAGATCGACAGGAGCTCTTGCACGTGATCCCAGTTTACATAAAAAGCGACATGACTGAGCCACACAATCCATTGCCAGAACTACTTCCTGGCATCGGACCTGAAGGTACTTATTAAATGTCATCTTCCCGCTCCTCGAAACAATCGAGTTTGTGCCTTAAATTAGTCCATTTTAGTTGAAATGTCTTTGACCTCCATGGAAATCTGGTCATGCGCTGATTCAATACATTAGTATCTTAGCAGATCAGCATTTGCAGATTGAAAAGCTGGGAGCTTTATTTTGGTAGGTTATTAATTGGAAAAGGAGCGAGTAATATAAACGGAAACACACGCAGTTTGCTCTAATGGTGCCAGTTGGTGGTGCAATTTTAGAATTTCAGCAGGGAGTATCGTGATCTTAAACAGGAAGTGGATTCTGTTACTAGAATCCTAAAATGATAATGAAAACTAATCACTGATTAACTAACAACTGAGACCATGTATGTTGTGTGTAGCTGTGCGTACTTGCCTGCTAAACTTTGTCCTTGTAACGACTGAGTTGCATCTTTTGTTGTTTGTAGCTATTTGGAATGGAAGAGCACATGTTGGATGCGGTGAAGGGGAGAGAATCTGCTTCATAAATATTAGTAGCTTCAGTTATAATAATTTGCTGTTGCCTAGTATTGGACAGAGGCGCTGTTCCCCTCTGTCCTTTACTAGCCAACACAAATTTATTAAATTATTTAAAATGCTGCAGGCTTTGCAAAGGATTGACACTCTTATAAATTCTCTATTTTTAGCATTAGATTTTCTGGAACAAATTTTGACCTTCAATCCAATGGACAGACTGACAGCAGAGGAAGCCTTGGCACATCCATATATGAGTATTTATTCCTTCCCGATGGATGAACCCAAGTCCGCTCACCCCTTTCACATTGAGGATGAGGTTGATGACATGTTGCTTATGGATGAGAGTCACAGCCACATTTACAATTGGGACAGGTAGTACAATTACTTCAGCTCTGGTATTTAATATGTACTTTATGAAGAACTAATGTTCAACATAAGATCTAACAGTTCTTACGTGGATGACAGTTGCTTTTAGATATGGCATTGGCTCTTGCTTTTGCATGTTGTGGAGGCTTGTGCTCATATTCAGTTTTACAGTGCAGCATACATTGAGTCATATTACACCATAGTGGTTTTCTGTGACATTCAGTAACTTTATAGTCTCCTCTCATTTCACAACTTGCAGCAAAAAGACTGCATACTGGCCTTCATGAAAGAGGGTCATGTGTCACGCTGCTTGACTGTTTTAGGAGATAGTTAAATTACTTGGTACCAAGTTCCAAGAAACCAGGGTGTCTGGCTTTCTACATTGTAATGAGCTAAAAAGGAAGCTCCATTCATCCATGGTCTAGTAAATTTCAAGGAATGCTGCGTATAAGTTTGTGTATAACAGTCAACTAACAGTCAATTGAAAATAGTTCTATGCTGAGCTATGTTGACTAAATTTAACAGCAATGTGAGCAAGTTTTGTTCTGTAATTTTAGTATGCATTTAAAAGCATTTTTTTAGAAAGAAAGATTGGTTTCATAGCACTAGTTTTTTCCATGTAAGGTTTGTGAAATATTTGGTGCCCAGCATACTTAACCATTGGATTTCAATCCATGAATCCTGAAACCATTTAAGATGTCGAAAATGTCTTACGTTGCTGATTTCACTTGTTTTCAGATATCATGAAAGTGAATTGTCAGACCATGATTGGACTTTGCATGGTAATTTTGAGGCAGATGATGTTCAGCGTGACCCGCGAGCAATGTCTGACATGACCGAGGAAGAGGAGGTGCAAGTGGACCCTCGCAAGTATATGGACGGAGACCGTGAGAAGTATTTGGAGGATCCTGCCTTTGACTTGAACTTTTCCACTGAACATTCTTGGCCACATCCAGATCACCATGAAAACAAATACTGTGATCTGGAATGCGGGCAAACCTGTAACTATAAAGTTGGGTCCCCATCCTACTTGGATAACTTAGTATGGAGGGAAACTGAAGTCAATCATTACTATGAGCCCAAGCTTATTATTGACCTATCTAACTGGAAAGAACAGATCAAAGAGAAGCCAGATAAAAAGAGCAAGACAAAGTGTGAACGGAATGGATTGGTGAAAGCACAGTTAGCTCTAGTGGAGGCATCGCAGCAGATAGTTGAGAAGGACAAGGAGAAGGATCATAGCTTTGACTTTGATTCTTTCATTGCAGGCACCATCAAGCTTAGCTTGCAGCCAGAGTCTCCTGATGTAGACAAGCTCAATGACTTGAACAGCTCAGTGTCTCAGTTGGACCTGAAAACTTCAATGTCTAACTGCAAGTCTGTCAGTCAGGAGAAAGAGGAGAAGGGGATTGCTAATTTGGCGCAGCTAGAGTGCCGGAGCCAGAATCCATGGGAAAGTCAAATTGGAAACGGAGGAAGTGCTGGCGTGGATGAGAGCTGTATAATCAATCTAGAAGAAGAGGTTTGTTGGGACACAAGGAAGGATGAACAGCTAGAGAAAGAAAACACATTCACTAGTTACTTAGACAAGTTTTTCAGCAAAAAAGAGGACCCTGAAATGGCAGAATCTGAGCCAGTAGATGAGAGGAAGCAGGCGGATCGAGCCAGCGAAGAGAATGCGAAAGCGAGCAATAGAAATGGAGAAATCCCGTTTAGCAAACAGTTAGAATCTATAGGTATTCCTCAGTTTGACAACCCTGTCGGTTCACCCCTGAAATCTAGAGCAATTCAGGCTACATTAGCACCACCTGCTGCAAAATTGTCTCCTCAGATTCCTCATAAAGCCTATAGTAACATCTTGAAACATCTGAACTGAATACACCACTCGGCAGACATTTGTTTTGTATCATATGTGCATTTGTCTCGTTCTTTCCAGTCTTGAAAAACGTTTTATTTTTAAACTTGAATCACTTGTAGTTTCAGCCCGTGCTCCATTGGTTTGAATCGGTTTACGATTTTTATGTGTCTCTTTATTTTTTTTTTGAACATTACATTTTAAAAAAAACGTTTTTTGTAAACTTCTACGTCATTTGCACACGGTTTGAAAGAAATAATGTACATTGCAAAAAAAAAACTAATGCAGAAAATAGTGACGGCGGAAAGGTGGTGATAAAATGCACTAAGCCAACTGGACACGTTTCATTTGTGAAACAAAATGGCTGGCAAGCACAGCCAGCTTGTTTTGCAGATGGAATGGTTCCTACATTGGCAAACACACAGTTGGAATATACATGCATGAGATGTCTTTTTTTTATATATATAAATTCATTTAAAGACAATTTGAAATGGTTCGAATCTTAAGCAGTGAAGTATTTGTTTTCCCCAAGCAGTATATATATTAGAAATTTTCTTTGCTTCGATGTTTCTTAAAACATGTGATGCCAGCAAAAAAAAAACCAGCAAATGAATGCAGATCGTGGTACGCATGTGTTATCTACCTCAAGGTAACGGCAATGAGTGGCTGTCCTTGAGCCGCCCATAGTGCTTCACAGCATGCACGTGAACTTATCCAGCATCACTGTGCTAGCAGTTATTCCTGTTTGAAAAAACAGTCCGTACTTGTATAACTTTCTGGTATGCATTTTTCCATAGTAAAAGTGTCCACCTCCATTATTTATTTTAGCAGATGTAAGATTTTCTCTGTATTTATTTTTAATTTTATAGTTTCAATGTGACTTTAAAATAAATTTTGAGGCATTTTGAAGCTAACTATGTGTTTAGCACTATGGTTAGTCGCGTGTGTGTGTGTGTTTAAAAAAAACAAATAAAATGAAAACTCCACTCGTCCTAGAGCTTTTCACACTTTTTTTTTTTGCCCCACTTAGAATTGGTTTATTTTGAAGAGCATTCACTATGTATAGGAATTGATGCATTTTAGTGGTGCTTGACTTTCCATCGAAATGAAACCTGATTTTAGAATCCACTCCAAAAAGGCAAATTTAGAAATACTCCCAAGAAGTCTTAAATTCTGTTTCATTTGTTGAAACCTCACGATGCTAGAATTCTCTGCATGGAAATAATTGAGTTACAAACATTACTGTAAAAATTAAAGCTGTAGGCTGCAGTAAAATGAATGTTGAATTCTCACCTTTATTTTTATCCAATGTTTTTATTAAATTTGTAATTTCTCAAGCCAGCATGATTTCGATAGGTTCAGAATATAGCATGTAGAATTATTTCTGAAAATTTATTTACATTTAGATACTAAGTTTCTGTATTATCAGTTCTTGCCCTTCCTTTCCTCTTCTCCCTCCTCGCCTCTCCCTCCCCAACACAAAAAAAAATCCAAAAAAGGAACGAATAAACATAACCAAAACCTGAATGTTGCTGTCTGTCATTTACTGTGGTCTGAAGTTTTGGGATAACTGTTTAGTGATCTAAGAACATAAGAATTTGTTAGGCTAAAGAAGACCAAGTTCCATCTAGTTCGCCTTCCACCATCCAGGCAGTTGATTGATATATTATGTCCCAAATTATATACTGGATCCTGAGATTATTTTCCAGCAGAAATCCATCTAATTTGTTTGTGAAACAAACAATACTTTCTGCTTCCACTGTCTTCCTACCTTACAAGAGGAATTCGAGTTGGGCATTTTTTTTTAATAAACTGAACAAATTGAATCTGTTGCATAATATCAGAGGCTCAGATTGGACTAAGAAATTAGATGTGAGGATCCGAGGTTGCTCTGTGCTGTTGCGATTGTGTTATCTTGCAGCTTTATTGCCGCTCCAAGCGAGGTTTTATAATTGCATCTTGCAGAGTAAAGTGCAGACTGGCTTTGACAATCAGCCACAGGTGCACACTCGGAAGAAGCGCTCACGCCAGAAGAGTGCCACAAGTTCGCAACAAAAACAGACTGTCGCTGAATACACTTCACAACAACAGATTGCATTTATATAGTGCCCTTCACATAGGGCGGCGTCCCAGAGCACTTGACAGGTACGGAGCATGACAACAAGCTGGGAGGATAAATAAATCCTATGCTGTGAGACATCCTCCCAATGAGAAAAGGCAGTGGAGCAAATCCAATCATTATTGCTGTCGTACGAGACAAACTCGGTCAAAGTAGAACTGAGAAATGACACGGATTCTTGTACTCAGCTTCTGTCCTATTTAAATCCAATTTGCAGTTTCCCTCTGGAAAGTGCTGGTCATTTGATCAAGGAACTAGGTATGAATCTGTGCTGGATGCAACTTTAATTATTATTAAATGTATAATGACAATCCTGGGCCGAATCAGTTTTTTCCTTTACCTCTCCTGGCTGTTTTTGTAAAACTTAGGGCAAATCCTACCACTTGTACGTAGGAACTGGGGTTGAGAAGGACCAAATTGATCTCGGACTTTTAAGAGAGATCGAGGTAGGATGCTCTCAGTTTAGCCTGAATTAAATCCAATGTTCCTGAAATGAAATGGGCTGCGTGCGTAACATGCAACATTGATGACATCGAATAGTGTTGAATTCATTGTATCTGGGCCTTGACTTTTAATGCTATTTAAGGATGGGTGGAGGTTGTGCTGACAACACTTATCCAGTGTTTATCAGCAACACTGACACGGAATGTTTGTCAAACTAAACAGAACCACTGTATTTGTTTTACTAATGTTAACTTAACCGGTAACACAGACAGGGCAAGATAATTACTTGACATCCTGCGTAGGTATCTGTCAACGCAGTTTTGTTTTATTTTGGGCTTGTGCTAAATTCTGCCAGGCTGCCTTAAATATTCCATAATTGTTGCTTGCTGCTTATACACCACTCGCCAGCGTGAAGGACGCTGTATAAATGCAAACTGTTGTTATTGTTGACATCTCAGCAAACAATGTGGAAATATAGAAACTACTCCCAGTGTCACCAGCCTACGGGAGTGGAATAATATGACACTTTTTTTAAAAAAAATCCTTGCATTTGGCATACATAGCATTTTATTACATCGGTACATCTCAAAGTGCTTCACAGGATTTACTATAAAGTATAGTGACTGTGTTTGTATGTGAACATGGCAGGCAAGTTGCCCATGGCAGTACTCTGCAAACAGCTGTCAGGAGAATAACCAGTTTTATCTGGAGTATTATTGCTGACCAGAGTCACTTCTCTGTATACTTTGACTGCAAAGCAATACTGACCTCCTCATTAGCTATTATTGATAGTATTTTGCTTTTAGAATGACATTGAGTGGGTGGAGTGAGCTTGAACTCCAGCCTACTTTCTGCAATCTACATTTAAGCAGAACTCGGTGTTTTTCTAAGGCCGGCAAATTGCTCATTGCTAACTTCCATATTTTGTGAAACTCATTACAAGGTCAACTCAGCCCCTTATATGAAATAGCTGACAGTGACCCCATTTCCACTGCTCCGAAGTACTCAATTGCCAGTCTTCTGACGCAATAAGGATCATTGTGACAGGATCAGAAGTACAGATGACACAAATTGTGGAATTGAAACACTACGCTGGAAAGCGAAACCTATTTAAACCATTTCTGTTAAAAATATGGTGCGTTTCACAGTCAAATTGCAATTTGCGCTTGTTCCGATTGTACAGATGGAGATCAGGCTGGACAATGCTATTAGTTTTCTTTACAAAGCAATCAAGATTTTTGATAATGGAACTTTCACTTCAAGGCTTACTATGGAACCAATTTTTATTTCAGGAATAAATGCGTCATTAGCCACAGACAGCCTGAACATGGACGCAAAACCTTTGCCAGTATCCTCTCCCCCATTGTCATCCAGTTATCTCCCTGTTGTCTTGCTTGTATTCAGGTCTTCCACCTGCAATCTAACCGGCTTAGTTACCTGCGGTCTTTCGTTTGGTGTTTTTCTTAAGTTAAGATTGAATTCAACAACTTGCCAAATTCTGGACACTCTGAAAATGCCATATAAATCAAGTCAATTGAATTTCTCCCCAAAGAAGAGTGGTGTAACTTTATCAGCGTAGAAATGACAACAGAAATGTTAGCTAAGAACCAACAGCAGCCTCAGGATTTAGTGAGGAATGTGAGTCACAGTTTCCCCTGAAACATGGGGTGAGCTCCAATGTTTCTCAATACAGTGCAGTGGTTAAAAGGGACTACACTGAAACCCCATTCAAGAATGAACTGTCCATCCTCCGTGGATATTCAGTATAAAACATCAGGACATTTCACGGTACTTGGAATTAACCATCTGACAGAGCTACCCAGTAACGAGCGCGAGAAAGACGCTACGTAAGAAAAGTAAAAGAAATGTAATCATTCAATTCTCATTTCTTTGCAGTTTTGAGCGCAAGCACGCACCTTGCACAAGTTCCTCAGCATTGAAGTAAAAAGACAGCATCTCCATTGGATTTCAGCCAATGTCCTGTAGCTCAGTGGTTAGAGCACTCGCTTTGCAACTGAGAGACCTGAGTTCAATTCCAGGCAGAGGGCGAAACCTTGGGCAAGTTTCCTTACTCCACACAGAGCCTAATAATAATCCCTCCAAAACCAAAAACAATAATAAATTGGTCATTTTCAACCTACAACTGTTTGTGGGACATTGCTGTGCGCAATCGGCTGCCGCGTTCGCCCACAAATATACAGTCAATTCACTTTACAGTGTGTTCTGTGAAGCGCTTTGGGACGTCCTCCCGACGTGAAAAGCGCTATATCAAATGCAAGGATTATTATTATTATCTGGAACTGCGAGTAAAACCATGCTTGCACCAAAAACAAGTGATTCAAAAGCTCATGGCAAAGCATAGGTTTTAGTCCTTAAAAGCATTGCTTTAAGAGCTAGAATCTGGGCTGGTTTCCCAAGTCCCATGTGATGTGGGAGTTTGTATTGTAACTTGTGCGAGACACAGTGCCGATTAAGTTACGTGATACTGGGGGCCTGACAAAGTTTGAAACCTCATCCTGTTATTTCTAAGTACTGGCTTCACATTCATGCACTACCTCCAGTGTTCAATGTTCCTTTGAAGCCAAAATGTCATTCTAAAGTCAAAGTTTCTTTCTGCAGTCATGTAGTGAGCAAGCGAGCGCATAGTTGTAACACTTTTCTGACTCACACTTGGTGGGGGTGGGTGGGGACGGAGGTGGGTGACTCAAGTGACAGTAAATGAATCTTTTCAAGTTTATTTTTCACCCAAGGTGCGTGTTTATTCCATGGGCAACAAACACGTTACTAATACTCGCATTTGATATAGTACCTTTCAGGTCTGAAGGATATCGCAGACCACTTCGTAGGATTTCACGGTGTAGTGACTCTATATTTTGTAGGCCTACAAATACGCGCACAGCGAGGTCCCACAAAAAAAGCCATGACGTGAACGACCAATTTTATCTAGGCGATTGTTAGCTGGGATACTGGAGAGAAACTCCCTTCTCTTTTCAAATTGTACCATGGGATCTATTTAATGTCCACCTGACCTGCTGTGCGCAATTGGCTGCCGCAATGCTGGTTACAGTGGTGGTGAGAAAGGAGTGGGAGACAGGTTCGAAGGTGTTTGCCCACAAATATACAGTCAATCCACTTCTGTGAAGCACTTTGAGATGTCTAGAAGATGTGAAAAGCGCTATGTCAAATGCAAGGAATATTATTATTATAATTATTATTAGTCTTTTTAATGGATTTGCTGATGGACATGAGATCTGGTCAATAAATACTCTTCCTTACTGCTTTATTCAACGACTATTGCAGTAGTTTAATCAAAACCACTCCATCGCTGCACAGCTTGCACTTAATTGATCCAAAGTCAAGGGATCCATTCAGCTGCCTCTGCCCTTCCGTCTACTATACCCTCCCCATCTTCCCCTCCCACCCTGGCCCCAACCCATCCCTCCCTCCACACCTTCGAACCTGTCTACCACTCCTCTCTCACCACTGTAACCAGCATGAAACCGACCAACTGTTCCCTCAACCCCATACCTACCCCTCTCCTTACTTCCCAGCTCCACCTCCTTGCCCCTCTACTCACGGACATCATAAACCTCTCCCTGTCCACTGGTACTGTTCTCTACTCTCAAACTACCGCCCCATCTCCAACCTCCCTGTCCTCTCCTAGGTCCTGGAACGAGTCGTTGCTTCCCAGCTTCGATCC